TTTCTTCTTTCTTAGGTGCCGACCTGCTCCCAGTGACCTCTGATAGTGAACTCTGTTTCTTTTTGTCATCTGAAGATGTCTCTAGTTGGCCCTCACTTTAACAAAGGTTGACTGAGAGATAATTCGCCTCTCATCAAATTTTCCCTTTGAAAGAGTACCCCCAAAGTGGGCTGAAGTATATTCACGAAGTTAGGCAACCATCGCCCCTAATTCAGAAAATGTTCATCAGCCCCCAAAGAAATCTGATGGTATAGGGTTAAGTGGTTGGCTGCCTGCCGGCCGCTCTGAGCTTAGAACCCACCGTTGTGCTATGGAGGGAAGACGTGGCTTGAAAGCTACACGGTGGAGGTTGACGGTATCTTTCAGGGTTGTAATGAGTCTGAATGGGTTTGTGTCATCGGCAAAGGCTTTAGTTTAAAAAGAAACCACGGACTCCCCATTCTCCCCCACCTCTAGCCTCTAACCCACTCCGACTGCCCGTGAGCCCATTCCTCCAGCCTCTGGTAACCCTTGCTCTTGGCCTCTTCTGAACAGTTCCTGTCAATAGAGCCATGTCACGTGTGCCTGTCTTCTTCCACTTCATGTTTTCAAGGTTCGTCTAGGGTGCAGCACGGATCAGGACTTCATTCCATCGTGGGGAAGCACCACGTTGTACTCGCTCAACGCCACAGATGATGGGTGTCTGGATGATTTCCGCTGTGGATAATGCCGCAATGCCCTCTGGGTAGTCTTGGTCGGGGAATATGTTTTCAGTTCTCTGTGGCCCAGGAGGATGTGTGGAAGGCATTGCTCCTAGAGGTCATGCATGCTCGGGCTTATTCTGAACAGAACCTGTGGCCAAATCTGCGTCTCCGAGCCCAGTGGATGGCTGCAGACAAGTGCGCTCAACAATCCTTGCATTTCGGTTTCCCGAGGCTGCTTAAAAAAATAAAAGTCCACCCCCCCAAAAAAAAAATGGCTTCTGAGGGGGATCTGTTGACCCGCCAAAGCCAAGGCAGAGAGGTTAGCTAGGAAGCTGTTTGGGGGGGGATTCCAACTCATGATAGGTTTTCTCAAAGGACACCGGATGATGACAGGGGCTTATTATAAAGAACTTTGGGCAAAGTGAAAACTTGCAGTGGTGAGAAAAAGGCCAGGCAAGCTGCTCCAAAGGATTTGTCCCCCATCAGTGACAGAGGGAGTGAAAGAATTAGCCCCTAATGAATGCTCTTAATTAATGTTCTCTACTTTACCTCGATAGCTTCTAAGTGAGACTGCAATGACTACACAGAAGCGAGTCCTCACTTTCTGACCACCAAGCTGCCAAAGGGAAGTCCAGAAGACAGAAAAGGACAGGCGTGCTGAACAGTCTCCTCAGTAATCCCAGAAAGCAGGGAGGAGCAGGCCTCTTAGGGGAAAGATAGATGAAGGAGGAATAGACACTGAACAGACAGGAACATAGACACAGAGTACTGTAGTCAGGTGAGGGAGGAACGTACAGCAAGGATCAGGGCAGCTGTAAGGAAGTTCCTCCTCAAGACTTAGATATGCAAACAGGAGAGAGACAGCTCCTTTGTCTTCTCTAGTTCTGGCCTGGTGGATCCACAAAAGACCCCTCCCGACTGTCTTTATCAGAAAGCCTTGAACACAGGTTTTGAAGGAGTTACTGCTGTTTCATGTTTATCTCCTCTAGTATAAGAACCAAACCACCACCGACGCTGCATAAAAAGAACAAGTCCTGTTTGGTGTCTCAAATTCAGCAAGACAGCCTCGATGGGGTGTCAGTCTGTTTCCCATCGCTCTTTTCTCTTTGGGGCATTTTCTCCCGTGTTGGGTTGCCATCCACAGGCCGACAGTTCTAAACCACCAGCCGCTCCTGGCGAGAAAGACCGCCTTTCCATTCCCACAAACAGTGACAATTAGGACAACTCAAAGGGGACACTTCTACCCTGTCCTACAGGGTGGCTATGAGTCAGCCAGAATGCTTCTTAGAAGGGACCATCCAGAGCCTTGGTCCTACATACTCAGGACCTGTTATCCGGAAGCATCAGTCCCGGAGGATATCATGCTTAGTAAAGTAGAAGGGTAGGGAAACAAGGAAGTCCGCCTCCAGGAGAGCCATTGACCTCAGCAGCTGCGACGATAAGATCAGATGTAGAAAGGATTGTGAGGATGGGCCTGGGGCCCAGGCAGTGTTCTGTTGATGTAAGAGCGCCTACAGGCTGGCACCTACTAATCTTCCCTGTACTGACGCAAGTAGGTGGGCTTAAGAAAGGTGTTTTTGTGATTATAACTAATGGCAACATGTGGGATAATTGCCCACGTGGAAGAAGCACACCAGCCTGTGCGATCACGAGGTGTCGAAGGGTTCAGGGATCAGGCATCATCAGAACACAAAATCTTATCATAGTGAATGGAATGAGGGGGGGGAGTGCGGAGTGGAGACCCAAAGCCCATTTGTAGGCCACTGGACATCCCTTACAGAAGGGGTCTCGGGGAGGAGATGAGCCAGTCAGGTTGCAATGTAGCAATGATGAAAAATAGAGCTTTCCTCTAGTTCCTAAATGC